CTTTGAGATGGAAGGGTCAGAGATCCCTGGCCTTGGGATCCCTGGGATTTCGGTGATATCTTTTGCTGGCAGAAACAGGTGGTGGCCGGCCACATTTGAACCCCCAACCCCCTCAACCCCCTCAAGTCCTTGAACCCCTTCAAACCCCCAACCCCCTATTGTAATAATACTATACTACTGTACTGCTTCTATTACTAGACTTCAATACTACTACTAAACTACTGTACTACTACTATACTACTGTTCTACTATTATACTACTGTAATACTACTATACTACTGTACTACTACTATACTACTGTTCTACTATTATACTACTGTAATACTACTATACTACTGTACTACTACTGTACTACTGTACTACTACTATACTACTGTAATACTACTATACTACTGTACTACTACTATACTACTGTACTACTACTATACTACTGTACTCCTATTGTACGACTGCAATACTTTACTAAGTACTCTCTATCTACTTGCTACTATACTTAATAATTAACCCCATCCCCACATAATCAGGGGGGGCCGGGAAAAACTTGAACCCATGAACAAGTTCAAGCGGGCTAACCTTGACAGCGGGGGGGGGGGGTTGTTAATCGGTATCCAACATTATCTTACAACTTGACAAATCTTCGGGTATACACCGACAAACCCCTCCACCATGCCTTGGACAAGAAACGGACCCTATCATATTCATGTCTGTTCCTTCGGTGGCAGCAAAGCATGAGAACCCCGCGCCAAATGAGAGCAAGGATTTGGTACTCATTCCTTGTCATGGTTCCACTAAAGGATACCTTATGTAAGCGCCTACACTACCCCCGTTGGCACCCGAGGTCGTTGACCGCCCTTCTGAGCTACGAAGGGCTTTGTGTGAATGAGGCCTGCAGCTCTGGAGTTGTGAGCCTTTGACCCCAGTCGTGCAGAATGACGACGTCGTGAGTATGGGGGCTTAAGAAACAGAAGCCGTATGACAGACCCGCAGCAGAAAAATGTAAAGATCCTGGACACATCGTCTGCAAAGTTAAGCCATCTTAACCCTTACACCGCAGAACCGAACAGCTTTGCGGAAAGAACCGCGAGGCCCAGAGCAGTGAACCTGCCTTAAGCACTCTTTGCTGAACCCCCTAGAACGCAACAGCAGAATAGCCTGTACGGTGGCGCGAATAAGGCATTGGGCTTCAGAACAGGGCTTGATAGGACATATGCAAGACTTGCTAAGTCTTAATCGGAAATGGACGAAGGTGTGCTGGGAACGTTCGTTGTCTATGGAGTATGGTGATTCTCAACCTCGTGTACACAGTGTGAAAGATTTCTGCCCCAAGGAAGCAGTGCAAGTCGTCTACCCTATAACCGTAAAGTCCAGCAAACCTTGGGCTGTTTTATGTGTGGGGACAGCAGCCCAAAACGAACACACCCCTCCCACAAGTGCAGTAAACGTACAAGACTACACCCTTGACAGCCGAACCAAGTATTACCACTCTCAAGAAACGCAAACACCAATAACAAAGCTCATGACAACGATAGCAATAGCATTATCGATTACAGCAAAAAGACTTTTCAATTTCAATAACTAACATGTGTCAACTATTCGATTTGTTCATACAGCACTCACACAGCCATTCATAAAACTACTACAAGCGGCAACGAAGTTGATAACCCCTGGTAGTTGCAAACCGATACCAAGAAATTGCAACACCGGTTTTCACAGTGACCTAAACCCTAAACCCTCCACTTTCGATCCTAAACATCCCCAAAACCCTAAGCCCTACACTGTAAACCCCAAACATCCCCAAACCCTAAACCCTACACTGTAAACCCTAAACATCCCTAAACCCTACACCCCTAAAGCCTAGAAGTGCTGAAGTATCTGCCAGGAGCGCTTGTGGAAAGCTCTCCGAGCTTGGGCCGAACTTCGAGCGCTGGGGTCCCTGGCTTCTTTGTAAGAAGGGGGTGGGGTTACAAACCTTAAGCCCTAAGCCCTTCGAGGTTCCTTTATGTGATTCATGGTTCTCTCCCTCTCTCTCTCTCTCTCTCTCTCTCTCTGCCTCACTTATTCTGCTATGTTGTTTCCATCTTTGTCTCTCTTCATGCTGAATCGCTCCCGAACTTGCCTTCTGGGGGGGGTTGACCAGGACATACCAGGACACCCCCTGAGTGCCCTTCGATGGAGCCCTTATAAGCCTTATGGTTTGCACTAGTGGATACTCAGGGTATGAGAAAAAGTTGTTGGGAGGTCTAGGCAGGGAGCAGGGCATAGGCTGGCTGCTCGGAAAGTGGGGGTGGGACGGGTTGCTTCATGGATGGGGGAGTTGCTGCAGGATTGCAGTGTTGTGTTGCTGGTGGGGGTGGGTCTTCTGGAGTTCTGAGGATTGATGCCGGGGTTTCGAGATGTGTGCTCGTGATTTCGGAGGCTTCTTCGAGCAAATCACGACTTGTTTTGGGGCTCATAAGGTCCAAGTTGAGCAAGTCGGGTGTTGTGGAGGATTGATTTTCGCTTTTGGGCCCTTTCATTACAGTAGTCCAAGTTCAGCAAATCGGTGGTTGCAAGGTTCATTTAGAGGCCTGGGGTTTGCAGTGATCAGCTTGGGTCTCGGGGATTCTATGGAGTATCTGGTTGCGCATAGGGGTTGCTTTGGCGCTTGAGGTTGCGGGGCTGGTAGGGCCTATTTTGGGGATTTGGGCTCAGGGTTTCGGGGGTGTTTAAAGCGCTGCCCTCAAGTTGAATTTAGTTTGCGGTGGTGGTAATTAGTTTCAGCAGGCATTGGGAGTCTTGGGGTTATAAGGTCTGCATTGCACGAGGGTTCGGTGCAGCTCATCGAACAAGTTGAGTTCTATTCATGGTCCCAGGGGCCTCGCAGCAGAACCTAACCCAACCTGTTTCCTGTCTTGGTTTCTATACCTGTTTTTATGCTGTGGTTGTCTTGAACCTGAAGTCCTTCGGTTCCGTGACGGTGACGGCAGGGTGGGAGGGGGGGGTGTATACAGCAACTTGTCGCCCAAATTTTAAAGGTTTTAAGAACCTCAGGGACCCTGACACCAAGGACTAGACCCTCCAAAGTCCTTAATCTCCGCGGGTTTGGGTTATGAGTTTCGCGTCAAAGCAGCCAGAAACCCTCCCTCCCAAAGAACGTGGTCACTTCGGTGTCAAGAGGCGGCTCCAAGCTCGAAGTCCAAGCCCTAGGTACCATAGACGACGCGCCATGAGCTCTAAGTCGAAATCCCACGCCATAAATCCGGAAAGCACCAAAAATCCTAAACCCCCCACTTTCAGCGATAAACCCTTCCGACTTGCGTCCTGGCCTCTGAGCACCAGACTAGACACGCCGCAGAAAAGGTCATATAGTATAAGACCGCTGAACGGACTGCAATTCCTTTTGGCATAAAACATAGAACCATATATATTAGAATACACTGAAACTTGTACTTATACTTGCACGAGTTATACTTTTTACTATGTGTAGTTGCGAGAGTGTAATGTGTGATGCGCTATAATTGACTAGCTCAAGGATGTGGTTTTGGGTTGACTCGGCTCCTCAGCAGCTATTCTTGTCAGTGTAAGAAAAGTTGAGAGGTATGAATGAAGATGAAACCAAAAAAACATATGCAAGCAAGGGCAGAACCGTCAGCATCAATGCCATTTAATTCGACATAACCTTGCTGGCTAGCCGCGAACCTTCAAAATAGGGCTCTGCTACGGCTTACGGGTTTAATTAATGCTTAGCTCTGAACCCTCGACTCTGAGCCCTCAGCCCTGATAAAAACCTCAAGCTGCAAAGCAGGATGTACCGGGAAGGGGGGACGGAACACATCGGAAGCTACGGAGAGGCCAGGTTTTTTTTTGGGGGTCAGGGGTCATTCTTTACGGCTTCTGTTTTGGGTCGTTGCCGGGCTCGGGTTTATGATAGTACATACGTATAGAACTTGAGGTCAGGGGTGTCTCAAGCGATTGTGAGTAGCTGGCCTATGAGTCGAGTTATAGTTAGGAACATCTCGATTCGCACATTTATAACCGTTCAATGACCCTGAGCTCTACTTAAGCCGAATCTCTAATGTAAACCGCAAGCAACTCAACCCTGAAAGCTAGTTTTCCCCACTTACCAAGTCCCGACAGCCTTCATGTATCTCACCGGAAGCCTGGTTAGCTTCTGGATAAATTTTGCTGGTTTTGCCTGCAGTATAGTGACCATTGTAATAACCATTCTGTAGGTAGATTGGCTCTAGGGTTGGGTCTGGCCCCTCCCCTCCACCTCCACCCGAAGCCCCAAAACCTACCCAACCCCTTCCGCCCCCAACTCAAGCCAAACCCAAAGCTCTAAACAAGCCAATTCAATGAGCTGCTTGGACAGGCCGGCGAGCGCAAGGCGCGCGAGGTGGCGCACAGTGAGTTGGCCCTTTGCTCAGCAGCTTTCGCTGAGGGGCTTGGGAGGCATAAATTGAGGAGAGGTGTTTGGCGCCGTGGTTGTAGCAAGTTCGCCTCAGATTGAGGAGGCAGCTGTTCCCGGTTGCCAGGATGCAGAAGCTGCTGAGTTCTTCATGTGGCTGTTTCAGGGTCTGTGCTTCGAAGTGGCTGGATCCAGACACCCGCCAGCGACACTTCGTCCTTGGCGTGTGGACCGTGAAGGGCGCCTCCAGCTTCTTGAACTAGAGGGCACCGCTGCCTGCGGAATGGGCGAGGCTACAGCACCGATGCAAGTTCCGATGCAGCTTGACAGGCTTTTTGATTTCGTGAGAACTCACGGTCGCCATTCATCCTGCACCGGGTGGGGGTGACCTCTCCCGCTCTCTCTTGTTTCCTCTGCCTGTCCCTCTCCCTCTCTATTCCTTTTTCTTTTTCGCTTGCTTCCGCATGAGAGGGCAGGTGGAAGTTCGGGGCTAGAGTGGAGCCTGTGGTCCGCAGCTTGCAGGCTCAGACTAGGCCCAGCAAGCGTGCTGTAGAATTCGAGATGTTCCCTGTCCCTTTGCCATTCTTAAGGGGATCCAACGAGGACCACACGGATGGTTGCTGTCCTTCAAGTGGACAGGCGCCGAAGACGGCGCAGCAGAGCGGCTGTGGCCCTGCTGCTTTGCGGCCTTGGTCTCCGGACGCTGTGGAGCGCAGCTGTTTTCATGCGCCCTGCCACACTTGCAAGGCAGGAAGTTGCCAGGACCGCGTTTCCTGCGTCCTGTTCGTAAACTTTGCGAGGGGCCTTGAATCGGAAAGAGGACTTGGCATCGCGGAGTTGGCATTGGCAAGGTGTCTGTGGAAGTCACCAGAGAGCACAGTCGCCCGGCTGCACAAGGGTGGGGTGTTAGCCTTCGGCCCTTTACTGCCTATAGCCTCCAAACACTTTTGATGGATATGAACGTATATATATATATATATATATATGTATATACATATATATAGAGAGAGAGAGTATAAATTCAGACATACCCAGCATAACATGAGGTTCGGCAAGAGAAGCTCGCAAAGCTTGGAGGGCTGTTACGATTCTGCTGCCACATCAGTGCGTCACATGCAAAGCTTGAAAACTGAAGTCCGGCACCAACCTGCTTCTTCCGAGGCCGCGACGAGGCCTTCATGGAGCACCTGCGCACCCTAGCACGAGAGGCGCTTCCACTGCGTTCTTATTAAGGGATCTAATTGAAGTCATAATTGCCTAAACAAGGAACCGTGTTGTTTACCATAGATCTCTCAGATGACTTTTGTGGCAACTTCAATTGAATCTTTTAACAAGAACCCAGTCCAAGGGCATTGAGAGGTCCTTGTGCGCCGGAAGACGCGTTTGACCATTCGATGAAGTCTCCACAGCGTGGATATTTGTTCAAACCGCACATACCGGCTTAGCAGTGAATCCGAAGATTTGTGCATATGGTTGGAAGTTGGAAGTGTGGGGTTGTGGGTGGGTGTGGATGTGGGTGTGTGGGTAGATGGGTCAAACCTTGAGTCCAGCCGCGGTGATTCGCTGTAGCCTGTTCCACGACTGCAGGCGTTGACTTGGGATTTCCTCGAGGACCACCAGAGGATGCTGTGGGCGGCGGTACTGGAGTTCGATGCCGTGCCGACGCAGGATCAGTACGGCCTGTGCTTGCCAAGTCCATAGCTGTACGGGGCAGGTCATGGTGCATCTTTAGGATTGTGCTGCGCAGGACCTGCCGCCTTGGTTTTTTGAGCGGCAGAACTTCACTCGCCGGCAGCTAGGCTCGGATGCGCAGGTTTTGTAAGCTTTGAGACTGCAGATGTCAGCTGCAGATTCGTGTGTGACCGAGCTTTGTCAATTCCCGGCAGGCGTGGACCTCTTTAGCCTGGATGGAAAGCGTGCAGTACTTTGTCGTGCCGGCAATGCCACACACCAGGACGTAAAGCGGTTCCTGCGAACGGCCAACTGCGTTTGCAAGGCCGGGAAACATTGAAGAACAAATTTAAATAGTTCCGATCTAGTTCAAACAGTTTTTGCCAGATGTGCGTAGCGGTTCGGGCTTTCAAGCACATCCACGCGCATCCGTCCAAGGCTCCGCAATGCACGCTCTGGACCTTTCGCGGCTGCAAGATCACCAGTGCTTCCAAGAAATGGCTCCGCAATTATGGCTGCCAGCACCAAATCCTCGCCAAGCGGAGCCTGCGGAAGCTTCAGCAGGGTGCCGGTGCCTCTTCCCAGGCTCCTTTATCAGGTCAGGCGCTGCCATTCGCCCCGCCACTGCGGCCTTGCCAGGAGGAGTGCCTCGTGGCGTGCGCTAAGGGAGCCAGGGTCATCGAGATGGCCTGCGGCACAGGAAAGACACGCGTGATCCGGGAGTTGGTCGCGAAAGAAGCGGGGAAGGCAGGGAGGGAAGGATTTGGCGGAAAAGCGCGATTGGAATGATCAAATGCAGTCGGCTTTGAATCATAACTGCTGTTTTAGTGTCCAGGTCTTGGTCACCGTTCCCTCGCGTTTGCTGCTGGAGCAATTCGCTGTGGAGATGCCTGGCTTCTGCAAGGTGGGCACACACTATAACCGCAAAATCAACATGCAATCCCATGGCTTCATTGCGGTGACTGACTCGGTGCATTTTCTGCGGAAGCTGGAATTCGCGGCTGCTTTTGTGGATGAGGCCCATCATCCTTTGCCTCCAGGGATGCCGAGCTGCAAAAAACTTTTCAAGTTCTCGGCCACGCAGAAGGAGGAAGTGGATTTCAAGTACAGCCTCGGTGAGGCGATCGAGCAGGGGGTGTTGTGCGACTACGACCTCACGGTGCCGGTGGCGACAGGACGGCATCCCTACATTTGCCTCGCGAACCTGCTGCTGTCGCAACAGGGGCGGTTTCGGCGCGTGCTAGCATACTGCAACTCCGTTGCTGAAGCCAAGCGTTTCCAGCGGGTGTTAGAGACCGTCGGGTTGGCCGCCTGGCACATCAACGGGCATTCCAGCCGGCAAGAACGGGACGGGGTGATGCGCGAATTTGCACGAGATTTGCAGAAGCCCGTGCATGTGCTGGTGACGGTTCAAGTCTTGGGCGAGGGCGTCAACATTCCGAATGCTGACACCTGTATGTTCGTGGAGCCCAAGAGAAGCTATGTGAGCATCATTCAAGCCATCGGCCGGGTCCTGCGGCCGCACCCGTCGAAGCCTTTTGCCCACATCGTGTTGCCTGCGATTGCGATGTCCACAGTGCCGGCGTCAGATGTCACTTCTCGCCACGACTTGGATGACAGCCACGATGCGGCAAGAGGAGTTGAAACTGAAACCATGCATATTTTGGATGATGCGGCTGGCTCCGCAAGAAAAACTGCATCCGTTGCTGGAAGGTTGGTGAGAGAGAGAACTGGAAGGTTGGTAGCTTCAGATCGACCGCCGCACTCTGCAGGCTGGCAGAGTGCCCGATGCCTGGAGTCGAGGCAGACGTCAAGCAGAAATAGAGCCGACGTCCACGACACATCTCTTCCGCAGGGCCATGATCCGGGGAAGGAGGCTGGACTTCGGAATCGTCTCGTGCCCCGTTCCTGCCCGATGGGGGAGCTCTTCCATGCAGCCAACCATGGGGCCACTAATGCCACAAGGCCAGTGCATGAAGCCAGTTCAGAGTTGTTGAAGGTGGAGGAGCACCGCGAGGCTACACGGTATAATGAACCTGGAGCAAGGCATGCTAGGCCAGCATCCACCGGCCAGCAGCTGAAGGTGAAGAGTGGCGTTGGTCTCTTTGGTCGTGAAAGTACGGACCAGCTTCAAAGGTTCCTGCAGGCAATAGGAAACGCAGACAGCCGATTTGTTAACACAGACGCCAAGCACTTGCAGTCTCGTCTTTGCATCTTAGACTGCCAACTGCACCACGGGGTGTCACAGCTTTTGGGTCGCAGCTTGCAGTATCAGTTGGCATTGATACTGCAGCGGCGGGACCCTTGGGAGCTGCGTTTGCAGGCAGTCGAGGAATTTGTGCAAGAGCATGGCATTCTTCCACGATTGGTGACAGAGATGCCTCAGGAGAAAACTTTGGCACACTGGCTGCAGCACCAGTGTTTCAAAACGAAGCAGCGGTTACTCACAGCAACCAGGATGCAGAAGCTCCTCGACTCGTCATGCGGCAATCTGCAAGCCCGTGTTGAGAAGTGGCTCGACCCGGAGACGCCCTTTGAGCGATTTGTGAAGAAGTTGCGGAAGTTTGTCCGGGTTCACCACCGCATGCCCGTAGGCAACAGGGTGATGCCGAAAGAGCACAATCTAGTCGTAAATCTGGAGCAATTTTTGCTTCCCGGGCGCAAGGATCGTGAGAGGCGATTTCAAATTCTGGAGCAGGAGGGCCCCATCGTCGCGAAATGGGTAGCATCAAAGCGAACACGACGTCCTCGACTCCGCTTGAAGAGGTGGAGGCTGAAGCTTGAGAAGCTGGTTGAGTTTTTGACCACCCATGGTAGAATGCCACAGAGCGGAAACATTGAGCGGCCCATGTACACTTGGTTGCTCAGACAGCGAAAGCAACTGGATCGCCTCCCCGCCGATCTCCGAGCGGAGCTGTTGAACTCGCACCCGGCGGTCGCATCTTTCCTGCAGAGCTGAGCTGAGCATGTTGCTGGAGAGCACTGCTTCATCCTTGTGGCCTTCTCCTGAGCTTCCGAGCCCTCTCGCCACAGAATCTGATTATGCACAGTTCAAAACCTGAAGTTGGGCTTCTTGACGCGAATATCATATCAGATATTATATCCTAGTATTAGTGAGTATAGAGCATATCACAGTATAAATTATCATTTGATGTAACACTTTATGTCTTATAGTACGCATTAAACTATGTACTTTAATTACTTTATGTTACATGAAGATCTCTGCCTCAGAGTTAGCCCCAGGATCTCGAAACGCACAAGCATGGAAGTTTCTGCGAGGTTTTTCTGCTCCTAGGGGGATTCTAGCGTTTAGGGTTTAGGGATAAGGATGTCTGTCACATCCTGGCCTTGTACGAGTTTGGCAGCTTAGGGAGAGTTGTTGACACTACAGTCCGGTCCCCGTTCTGGGTACATTTTCGGTGTGGTCCGGGATGTCTTTTAGCTGCTCCTACCTCGAAGCGTGCCAGCCCTTCGACGCAGACTCTGAGCACAGAAGGAGTTTCAACCCTGCATGCCCTAAATCCCACCCGCATGGAATAACCCTAGTAAACCCTGAACCCCATAAGTCCTCAACAACCGGACTGCAAGCGCTGTACAGTCTTGATGCTGGATAGTTCCCAGGTGCGACTCATGGCCTGAATTTCTGTATGTATATTCTATACATATATGTATATATGTATATAACCTATTTAATATGCATTTACTTAGTTGCTTATATACATGTACGTATATACATGTTTTCATGGATCTACATAAGCCCGGTAGGTATCACACATTACCCAACGGGATCCTCAAATCCTCGGCAACTTGGCAAGTCGGGTTCAGGGTTTAGGATTTATAGGGTTTAAGGATTTAGGGTTTGGGGTTTAGGATTTAGGGTTTAGGGTTCACTCCCAACACCTTAGGGCTTTAGAGTGCCGAGGCTGCAAACTCCAGACTGCAAAACCCTAGGTTTTCATAATCCTAAGCCCTTATACAAGCCCTTCAGCACTTGAGCCCCTTGGGCCGATCCCTTGCAACTTTAAACCCAACAGCACTTAACATTGGGGGCTGAGTAGGTAACCTTCAACCTTTTGGGGCTTAGATAATCCTGATAGAACTCGAATGGTTAGCCTTTTTTGGGGCTATAGGGTACTCAGCCCCTAAGTAACTCTTGGAACCCAAGTCCCAATAAATTTTGGCAACCGTAAAATCCTGGACCTCTGAAGCTGCAAACCCCAACAAAACCCGAACACTATGCGGAGCCCTGCCTGCCTTGTGCGAGTGCGAGCGTGGAAACCCAAACACCCTACAAACTCTAAACCCTCCGACCCTAACCCCTGTATAAAACCCCTTAGCCCTGAAACCTAAACCGTCTAACCGTAAACCCTACACCCCAAATAAAGCCCTAAACCCTGAACCCTAACCCCCCACCGCAATTTGCGCCTGACTGAGGTTCCGAGCTGGCAAGATGCCATCAGGTCTCCCGGGCATGTCTGGGGGGTTGAGGGGTTGAGGCTTACGTTGGGTTTAGGGTTTAGGGAATTTGACAATTTTGTATAGTGGGTCTTAGACGAGAGTTTGTTGTTATAACAGTTTGATACAAGTTGCACTAGAGATCTGTAAAGTTTGTGTTGGGGTTTGGGGCTGTCCTTCGAGAGTGTTTGGGTTCTGGTGTTTAAGGTCTATAGATTTATGGTGCAGGATCTTTGAGGGTTTCCTGGTGTTGGGTGTCTTTTCAGGGTTTCGTTGCTTGTTGAGTCTAGGCAGCTTGCAGGTGCTAGTAGCCCTCCAGCCTTCCATAATGGAGGAGGCAGCAGCAGCAGAAGAGGCAGTGGCAGAAGCAACAGAGGAGGCAGCAGCCGCAGCAGAGGAGGAGGTGGAGCAGAGGAGGCAGCAGCAACAGCAGCGGACCAGGCAGCAGCAGCTGCTCTCCTGTTGCTGCTGCCTCCTCTGCTCCACGGCTGGAGGCTGGAGGGCTTTGGCGGGCTGGAGGGCTGTGGCGGGCTGCGGAGTGCTGCAGAGCTGGAGGGCTCGAGGGGGTGGGCGATAGTAGCGATTCGCCATACTGATGCTTTTGGGTGCGGTGCGATGTCGATACTTTGCTTTCGGGATACCTGGCGGTTCAATACCGATATGGCTTCGACATCGAAGAAACTATCGGTGAAACATCCATACCCTAAACCCTGAGTCCGAGGGCTTGCATTTGTTGCTTGGTTTCCATGACAACAAGGAACGTGAAAGACGAACAACACTTAAGAGCATAAGCAAATGAAGCCCCAACCCCTATTACAAGTTTTTGCCCTGAATTTGCGTTGCATCTCCGGGGCTCCGATCCTTCGCCGATTGCCAGGCCTTTGAGACATTTGGTGCGCTTTCCCGCCATGTCAGTGCGACTCCCGGATCCGAGGAGTTGAGGATAAATGTATTGCTCAAAGATGCTGGCTACATGGTTGCATGGGTTAGGGCTTGGGGCGTCCGAGGATTCACTTTGTTTTTACGAATTCCGCCTGTAGGGTTTGAAATTATTGTATATTCTTCGCCATGGCAGCAACATGTGCAAAGCTACTGTGTTGCCTTCCGGAGACGTAAAAATTGACAAGAGAAAGTTTTGAAATCAGATACACATATATGGCCTTCAGAGTCACATGTATGTCCTTGGTACTATCTTAGCGAGTTGCTTAGCCATGATCAGTGCGTGTTCTCTCGGCAATACCGATGGCTGTTCGCCATGTAAGTGCATGGCAGCCTTAGGGATTCTGCGAGTAGGTCCAAGTGGGAGTTTCCGAAAATAGGGGTCCCTAATATAGTACCCTGAATAGTAGGATCCTTACTATAATTATTCCCAAATAAGATACTCCTAAATTTCGGAATCTCCCATATTCATATTTAATGTTGCCCCAAAATAAGGTACCCCTAATTTTCGGAAGCCCCCAATTGGCTAAGAAGCGTACTACCATAACTGCTGACTTACGACGCGCCCTGTCAAGTCTCGGTGCTGGTTGCTTTTGGCATGTATGACGGCGTGCTTGAGTAGTAAACAAGGCAGGCAACTGCTCTTCAATGTGTGTATGTATACATGTGTACGTGTAGGTATTCTTGCGAAGCACATCACAGGTTGTTGGTGAAGACCGTGGAAAACTAGATGTGTGTGTGTGTGTGTAGGTGAAGTTGGTATAAGCGGGTCAACCGAACTTCCCGGCAATTTCCAGCGGATATTCTTCCCATTTCTCTGCAGCAGTGCACAGGCGCAGCCTCCGTTCCTCTGACCTGAAATTTGCACGTGTCATCTGAAGTTTAGTTTACGCCGCACTGCACAATTTCCAACTTGTGCAGGATGGATGCGTGTTGATTTGCGGTGAGTTTAGCTTCTCACTTCTGGATGATGTTGCCCAGGCAACCTTCTTTGCAAAGGAGATTTCCAAAAGCGGGGCATCGGGCTCAGCTTGAGCATGCCTGGCATCGTTTGCACGCTGAGCTCAGGTTTGGATGGCGGCCTGAATGGTTTTTCACGTAGCCCGAACAAAAAGAACTTGAAATTCTGTACGGCCTTGTATTAGGTACTACGAGAGAGCCCATGCCTGTTTCATCAAAAACGATATGTTAAATCAGGTTCCAGAACCTGAATGCTGTAGAGCAAATCCGGATTTAAGGGCATTAGGTTTTGTGCGCAGACCCCTACACCACTCCACGCAAGGCCAAGGGACTAGACCAGACTTTGTGACAACTTTTGGCTGTACTAAACGGACGATATCCGTTTTGCGGTTTGGAGTTTATGGTTTCCGGCACGAGTCTTCAACTTGTTTACACTACATGTCTCTTGTCGGAGTCGGAGTCCAGTTGCAAGAAGGGTTTCGGAGCCCTTTTTCTTATGTAGCGGTGTAGCAGGATCGGTATCAAATTGCATCAAGTCGTTCCGGGCTTGCATCGACGTTAGGTTCCAGTTCCGGTGCACCCTCAATATTATAGTCTCCTTAGGAATTATTTTTTTAGTTTTGTTCATATAAAACCCCTTTTGTTAAAAACATAACATAGTTTTTATTATGCTTCTAAGCGGGGTGTAGAACATGAACCTGAAATCCCAAAAAGCGCCAAGGTCTTGTCTCACCAAGAGGTTGTCGAGATATTCGCCTTCTTGGCAGCCAAGCAGGCGCACAAGAGTGGAAACAGCACCGGAAGCCCCCAAGCGGGTTTTTGCTCATAAGCCCGTAGAGTCTAGAAGACTGAGACCCAATTAGCCTCAATAACTCGAACAGTCCCACACACCATGGCCTCAAAGCCCCAAATAATTAAGGTAGGCGGTAATGTAGGGTTCCGATCGCTGATAAAAGAATGATATAACACCTCTATCACAAAACCTAATTATGACAGAACCCGCAAACCCTGAACTCCCTAAATAGTAGGATCCTTATTATAAGTAACCCCAAAATAAGGTACCCCTAATTTCCCCCAATTTCGAAACTCCCAAAGCCAGGCCAGGGGTGAGGCACTTCATGGCGAAACGAGTCCTGCTGCCGCCGAGCAGCACTTTCGATTGGGCTCACAGTTTCCCTAAACCCTAAACCCCAAAGGTTGGCTTCGTGGATGGGTTGTTGGAGGAATTTGTTGGTTTTAGGGTGTTGGGGCTTCGTGTTTCTTGGAATGAGATCGTTGCTCCGAATCGCCGTGTTTCAGCGGCTCTAATTACAGTGGACATCACATATTGTTATAGGGCTTGGCAGCTACAGTGCACCAATTTGGGGGTGGGGCCTTGCCCATCATCCCGACAATGCAAAATCCTACACCAGGCAACCAAGACCAGAAAACGCACTGCATAGTGCTGTGAGCTGTGCGGACTTGTACCTCAAACACTAATCCGTAAAAAGCGCTATCTCCGGGTTGCTCTGGTCCCTATCTTTTGGCTTCCATATATCAGGCAGGAGACTCTCAAGAATTTGTTGTGGAAGTGGCTGTCGCATTTTCAGGATCCGTTCTCCATGC